AACAGACTACACGAAATTTCAGTTTATTTTATGTGATGGACAAAATTAAATGATAGTAATCTAAAGTAAAATCACCAATTAAGGTATCGAGTATTAAAGTACTCATTTTTATACCCTCAGTATCGATACTTACTCAATGTCGATAGTATCGTTCGAACCCTATCTATACTGTGCTGCTATCTTTATTGGAATTCGTTTTCGCTATTTTATTTTTCTGTGGATTTTTGTTCTTCCGTGTTAAATATTAAATTATTGGAATATTATAAAAAGTCTCACAAAGAAAAAACAGCGTAGGAATTCTTTGAAAATGACAATGGGTGGAGATACACCAACGTCTTCACTGATTTTTCCAGTATTGCTGAGGCCAATATTCGCCAAGGTTTGTGAGTTTGATGGAGTGGAAATGCAAGTGGAATGTCTCATGCTGCAATTAGATCTGCAGCCAATTTGTATTTCACAGCTAATTCTATCTAATAAATATAAGTTAATTTGTATAATATAATTTTTGCCCTGTCTTGCTTGCAGTTGGAACGCCGAGATGTGGGCGCAGCACAGTCGCTGCGTTCAGCCATAATGAAATGTGAACAAAATAATCCAGGTTTGTGTTATGACCTCGTGGCGGCCATTATACGTCGCGCAGAACTGAATGTTAATCTCAATGAGGCAGTGCTGCGTTTACAAGGCAACATAGCGGATGCGGATCGTAAGTTAAAATAACATTTGAATTGATTCGATTGTTTACTAATTGATTACGTTTTTGCAGTAAATGAATATCGTCTTACAAGAACTGAAGAACCATTCCAAGAATTGAATCGCAAATCGGTTGCGCTCAAAGTTATACTCAGTCGAATTCCAGATGAGATTACCGATCGCAAAGCCTTTTTGGAGACCATTAAGTGCGCATAAGTTAAAATAAGTATATTCTCAAAACACTAATTTGTTTATTTTACTGATATTTTAGAGAAATCGCCAGCGCAATAAAAAAGCTACTAGATGTCGTTAATGAAATTGGCTCGTTTATACCCGGTGTCACAGGCAAACAAGCTGTCGAGCAGCGCAAAAAGGAATTTGTAAAATACTCCAAAAAGTTCAGCACAACGTTAAAAGAGTATTTTAAAGAAGGACAGTAAGTATTATTGTACAAGTTGATTGACGGTAAAATAGAAACACATCAGGAATGTTTATTGTATAAAACGTTATTAGCTATTATTATTTAAATACTTACTTCTTATCAAATTTTATGAGTGCATGTAGGAGCGCTTATCGAGCAAATTATGATGTCATCACAAGGCACATTGACTGCCCTTATTAGATATGTACATACACTGGCGACCAAAACCGAGTGCATGCAAGTAATAAAATTTTGTTGTTGTTGTAGTAGCTGCTACAACAACAAAACCAAAAACAACATTTTATTATAGTATAATTTTTTTAATAATAAGCGGATTGCTTTGCAATTTTCAGAAATTGGTCTTCACTATCCAATAAATAAAACCTAGTATACAGAAAAGCTATTCTTTAACAAGAAACAAGCGATTTACAGCAAAAACGTGAGGCAACTGTATTCACTAAGTTTTGAAATTTCCTGTTTTGAGATTTTTGAAGGTTGATACCAACAGGATTGTGGAGACTTCATTGCTTTTAATTGCGATACGTCCGAGGATGCTCTCTACTGAGTTTTCTATAATTTCGCTTGGAATATTAACCCATTCTAATTTTACTCGCATCCAAAGCTCTTCCGATTTACGCGGAGCTTACCCGTGCTATGACAATCCTCTCTTGACCACAGTGCAAAATTTTTCGATGGCGTTGGCCACGGCATTACGTGAAAATTTTACTGAAACAGCCAGTGGTGTCGAATGTTTTCTAAATTCTTTGGATCTCGGTCCTATTGGCAAACAACTTCTTCCTCAGGGTATGCGCTTTTGTCTCCAAAGATCAGAAAATTTGTTTGGAGAATATTGAGATAGACTTGTTCCTTCATTGTTCCTTTAATTTTAACTAACGGCACCAAGTAAAACATTATTTATTACAAAAACCTCTAACTTGTTTCGTTTTCTTTATTTCAGATCGAATGCAGTATTTATAAGTGCTCTTTATCTGATACGACAAACGAATCAAATAATGCTGACAGTGAAAAGCAAATGCGAGTAGAGAATTAAAAAAAAATAAATAAAATTTAGTGGCATTTGCTAAATGAAAAAAATCAAAAATATGGAAAAACAATCATGTTTAAAGTAATTCATTTAACTAATTGCAAAACATACTCCATAAATTAAATCTTGAGCCTAAATAACTAGTAACTCAACTAACGAAAATAATACCAAGCTGCATCATTTTAAACAAGTGAGCAGTTGGCAACGGAAGAAAAATTGGGAATAACGCAATGTCTGCGCTACATTTTTATCCTGTAGTAGTTAAAATCGGTTTTAGTTAAATTCAACATGAAAGTATATAATAAAATGAAGATATCGCTGATTTTGAGTAAACATATTAAAACTTCTTATTACACTAATACCCTACTCATGCTAGAAAAAAATTCGCTTGTGGTTTATGAAAGAACAAAAACAAAGAGAATTTGTTTAATGTTTAATTAAATTTCTTTTCTTATACATATATTGTATTATGGTTTATAGGGATTTCAGCTATGTGGAGTGTTGCGGGAGTGCACGCTTTTATTCGATGGGTTTATATACAAATCATGTAGCAAAGCCTCAGTTACTGTATGTAAATATTAAAATGTAATAATTGTATTATTTTTAACACTAACACTTTGCATTTTCAATTCTAAAACTCATGAAACACCAAAGTATTCTAAAATAAAAGGCGGGGAATTAAATTGACATTTCAGCTGTTGTTATAATTAAACATAATTGTCCTTGTTTGTTTAGGTAAAATATTTTTGCGTGCAAATACAAGAACTAAGTTTCGAAATAAAATAATTGTTCTCCTGTTGAAAACTTTTTAAAGGGTATGTTTAATCAACTGATAATAGTTCTGTTCGTCGAAAAGTCCAGCAAGAATCAGTCGACCATCAGGGAGAAAAAAATTATCTCGCTTAAATTGAGAAACATTAAAATTTCTGCACAAATCAGGGCCGTAGAGAGAAAATTCGGACCCGCGGATAAATATGTGAGAGATAGATAGGCTTATCATAAATATTCGGCGAAAATTGTCATCGGCGAAAAATTTTGACCACCCGAAATGGTTCACTTTAATTTCGAAGTTGAGATAACAGCTGGGAGGATGGTTGCGTAGGAAGGAGGCCACGTAAGAGGAAAAGCCATTCACTTGGGAGTGGCCGGAAATGGTTATTTAGCGTACGGCTAAATCGCATCTCACGACGATCTACATATCCTTTGGGCAGCGACCACACCACCGTTTGGGAGCGAGCTAAATTGAGAAGCCGTAAAACCGCGCTGGGTCCCGCCACTAAATAAACCCCCTTTTGATGACGACCACTGCAAACGTATAAAGGACTATGATTTGAGGGTATGCACCTGGAATACCCGGACCCTTAGTGAGGAAGGTGCCTCGGCCCGGCTGGTTGATGTCCTCGGGACGACAAAGGCTGGCATCGCCTTTCAAGACATACGATGGACGGGGCAAGGCAAGATAAGCGTGGAGCCTTGCGACGTCTACTACAGTTGCCACGTAAATTAGCGCAAAATCGGTGTTGGGTTTGTGGTGGGAGAGAGACTCCGTCGACGAGTACTGGCATTCACCCTGGCGGAAGAAGGTCTAGCAATAATCCTCATCAAAGCGAGATTCTTAAACATCTCGCTCATCTGGCCCCATACTCCGACGGAAGAGAAGGAGGAGGCATCCAAAGATCTCTATGAGCGCTACGAGCGTACATACGAGCGCTGCGCCCGTCACAATAGCAAAATCGTACTTGGCAATTCCAATGCCAAGGTGAACACGGAAGGGGTATTTGGGATGTCACAGAAGGACAGGAGAACTCGCTATTCCTTAGACGTTTGAAATTTGTACACAATAAACTAGATATTAGAATGCCACTCTCGAACAGACAAACTACATTCATAGGCCACCTCAACACTTGTACACGATAATATGATTAGGCAGTTCAGGGCTAGATGGAATGAGTTAACCGCTTGCAAAACGGCGAAAATGGTGGAAGCAACTATACTCGCTTCTTGTTATGGCTACCAAAAAACATTGCAGAGTTATTACCGGATTGCTTACGGGGCATATCCTTGGCTCATGCACAAAAAATGTCGTGAACGGGAGACTAGGGAAACCTTGGAGCATCTTCTCTGCGGATGTAGTGCACTGTTAAATACACGGCTAAAATGCTTGGGAGCCTACCAATTCAAGAAGTTGGAATTTTAAATTAACGCATAAAAAAGAGCAACTGGCAACGCTAAGGGCCTTCCGGTCTTTGTGCGGCTCAACGCCAGCAAGATTAACCTAACATAAACTATATGTGCCTTAAAGTACATATGAGAATAGCATTATAAAGTATGCAAAACGCAAATATTGCGATGGATATAGTACCGGGGGGCTTTCGCAAAGCAATAACTTATTTGATAAAAGCCTATTTATATGAAATGAAATTTATATAAGTTTCAGTTAAAAAAAGTGCCCGTGAAAAAGCGTACGTGAACGTGCGTGACTAAAAAACGAGGTTTCGTGATTCAAAAAAATATTAGAAAACGTGACTGTGTGATTTACAAAATCATCTTCGTTACGGCCTGCTCAAACAGGCGCGGTGCGGTACAGCGCGGTATAATCCCGTACGATACGCGGTAACGATATACGCAAAGGCACTCAAACAGGCGCGGTGCGGTATAGCAAGAAACATTGTTGCCATGTGACGAGCTCAAATTAACGGCACTCTACGCATTCCTCCTACTAAATTTATACACTGATTTTCGCGATGGACAGCTAAAGCTCTGAGGACGAATTATTGCTATTAGCAGCACTTCTCGATGAAGAAAACAAAAGGTATGAATATGCCTACATCTTTGTTTTATCCTGCAAAGTTCTTAATTTATGTATATGTTTAAGAAAAAGAAGATGGGTTCACGAAATAAATTTGAGAAGAAAAGAAGGTGGTGAATTTTCCAGGCTGATGCCCCAACTGCGTAACCACGAAGAAAGATTTTATAAATATTTCCATATTTGCGCTCCATTATGTACGTTTTGCGAAAGTATTTTAAATTCCAGTAAATTTACCGTTCATATTTCTGAGCAACATTGCCAGATTTGAAAAACATTTTTCAAACAAACGAAAAAGCTCAACTTTATTTTATTTACTTTGTGAGAAACAAAACCAAAGAATATCACGTATGTATTACGAGCACTTTTAAACTCACGTTTTTTATCATGAAAAAGGTAGAATTTATAATCTATAGCACTTTTGTAGCTAAAATATGTGGTAGAACTCTAGCTCTAAATTGCAACTCTGCTTACGATATATCTTCTTATACCGCGCGGTGAACGCTGCATGCTGCGGTAGAGTTCTGTACCGCGGTGTACCGCACTTCCAATACCGCGTCTGTTTGAGTGCTCCCATATACCGCCATGGTATTTGATACCGCATATCGTACGGGATTATACCGCACCGTGCAGCACCGCGCCTGTTTGAGTAGGCCTTTAATCCTTGAATTAATCGCTGAATTCTGAAATCCGCATTTACATTTCGTTAGATTGTTAAATAAACGCTCAAATTACTGCACCAATAACTTTATTGTACTCCAAACATTTTACAATACTTCTTAAGGCAATTGATCTCTGTACTCGTAGTTTTTTGTTTTACAACTGAGCTTTCTGTCTGCTGTAGCCACGCCCTTATTTACCCGAGTCGCCTCGCACTCTTTCTCTGCTGGAACAATTCATCGTTCTTTTCATTTAATCAGTTCCACCAAATATGCGTTTCGGTGGTCCAATATGTTTATATTTTCATTTTTTAAATAAATTCGAGTGATTACAGATATATGCATACATACATGAAAAAATTAGAAACATCATTTCTCTACGAAGCAGCAGTCTTAAAAAGAAAAAATTGTAAGAAAAAATTTTAAGAAAAAATTGTATTCAATATTTCTTCGCTAGTTACTTCTATATCTCCGATGATGAAAAGTAAAGCTAATGCCTGGATTATAATGCACGGGGCGAATCGTAACAAATCGCGGCGAATTCGTAAGGATCTATTGATTTTAGATGCTTCCGTTTTACGTTGCGTTCAAGTGCATTATAATCATTTGAATTCATTGACCATACAATAGATAATTAAGTGACAGTTCACTCCGTTCCGTTACTTCCATTATAATCCAGGCATAAACCATTTAATCTTTGCTCCCCAGTTCTTCGTAAATATGATTTAAGATTAAGAAGGAGCATTCACAGGAAGCAACTGTCACAAGAAGTTTTGGGCCTATCTGCAAGAATCGGTATACCTTTGAGTATCATGAGCCTCTAGGAATGGTGTTGGACTATGCTCCGTAGGTACATTGAGAAAAAATGTATGTAAAGAAATATAATATGGTATCCATCAAGCCTTAAA